TTTTTCATCAGCGTCATACCCGTGCAGCCAGAGCAGCTGAAGACGTAAACTAACTGCATGGTGCAGACGGGCACATTGTTGAAGGGTCCCAAAACTTTTAGATCCGACGGTTCGCCAGCAGCCGGTCAGGAAGCGGTCAGCGTCACTTGCTAATGCTCCACATCGTCACAGCTTCACTTTTTCCGGCGCCGTTCTCGTCTACGAGATGCTCTGGTCCAGACGGAAGACTATGCATGGGGTCATGGAAACTTGTTCAGGTGTCTAGTGTTGTTGAGTGCGACCAATATCCAAGCAAAATATCTGGGTTTTTGCAGCACTTTGGTCACGATCAAAAGAACGTTTAAGCGCTGTGATATTATCGATATCCTGGATTAAAATTGCCCAGCGTGACCGAACTCAAAACTTCCAGTCATTCTCAAACAAGTTATTTGAAGGTTGGGTGGCGAATGCTGTATCAGTGGTCCTTCGCCACTTCAACTTCAAGGAAAGATATAATCCATTGATGAAAGTGGTCGCCATCCCACGCCGACGCGTTCGGACTTTGTTTGCAAGCTTAGTTTTGAGCGCAACCTATATAACAAACGATGGGGCTCTTTTCATTGATTGACCATCACGTGATCTCATAAAATGTTCATACAAACTTTGTCGCGATCAATATTGCTTACAGCTGGAACACACCATTCCTTCTGGAGCTGTTGCTTCGTAATTTCAACACACTTTTAGAATAACAACCAGCTTCGTCCATTGCTGAAGGCAACAGTCATCCATTATCTGTGGCAATTAAATGTGAGTAAGCGCAACAATTGATCTCGCATTAAACCGCATCCACTTAGAGAAGCATCGTCCAAGCACGTGAGTGCCACACGAAATGATAACGGTCAGCAATAAACGACATCTGATTGCGTAAGCCGATTGAACGCTGAGCCGAGCACTCAAATACAGCAAGTCCGCTTACCTACACTGACGGGCGTCTTTCCAAAAATGCACGGACAAATCACGAGGAGCATCGATCGTCCGATCATCCACACCCCTCCCCCTCCCCTTCTCCCCATGTCGACGCGATCGGCCTCTGCAGCTGTGTTTGGTGTGCACCACAGCCGTCCCATGTCGGTCCCTTGGCCGGACACCGGCGGCTCGCGGCCCACGGAGTGCCTGGAAGGGACCTTCGGCGACCAGGGGAGTGCCCAGGAGCGGCGGTCCGCGGTCTGCAGAGTGCCCGGGAACGGCGCCCCTCCTCGTGCTCCTCAGTGCGCACCGAGCCCGACTGGCGGATGCTGATTGGACCGCCCGGCGACCGCGTGCGTTAATGCCGGAGCACCGCAAGTGAGGCGTGCGGTCAGCAACGCCACACGTCCACCAGCGTGACACGTTCACCAGCGTCACACGTGCACCAACGCTACACGTGCGCCAACGTCACACGACCACCAACGCCACACGACCACCAACGTCACACGACTACCAACGCCACAGTGCACCAACATCACACGACCACCAACGCCACACGTGCACCAACTTCACACGTGCACCAACGTCACACGACCGCCAATGTCACACGTGCACCAACGTCACACGACCAACGCCACACGTGCACCAACGTCACACGTGCGCCAACGTGACACGACCACCAACGCCACACGACCACCAACGTCACACGACCACCAACGCCACACGTGCACCTACGTCACACGTCCACCAATGTCACACATCTACCAATGCCGCAAGTCTACCAACGCCACTCGCAAGCAACGGTACACGCCCTTCAGCGCTACATGCGCTCCAGTGCCTCAGGCAAACGGGCGGCGTGTGAAATGCATCCAAACTCAGGCTGGTGGACCAGATGAAACCCATGATGGAGCCTCACCGAGTCAATAATTAGCGCGTAAGAGCCTATTCTCCTGCATCCCCACATTAAGCGCAACAGTCACGCTAACCCCAGTGGGTCCGCTGCTGGGGGGGGGGGGGGGGGCCGTGGGGGCGGACGGGTTCAGCCGCTGAGTAATGTGGGACAAGCCGCCGGGGTCGGCAGGTGTCGATGCCGTCGAGCACCGCGGCACCTGGCCAGTAACAGGCGCTCGTGAATGCTGCAGGCGGCGGCGGCCACGGCCACAATGGCACCGGCAGGCGCGAGTGACGGGCGCGGAGGGACGTCCAGGACAGGCGCCGACTGTCGTGTCGACACGCCGCGCCCTCTGGGTACGGCTGGGAGCGTAGCGTTACGGGAGACCGCGGAGCAGCAACGGCAGCTGTCTCAGCTGCTCCTACGGGGACCCCCAAACAGCCACGGTGGCTCTCTGGAGAGCTGTTTCTCACTGGTGTTACCGCAGTACATGTTCGCATCACATAAGTTGTTGAAGGGTCTTGAACATTTCTATGAGGTTTTGAACTGAAATAGCCATCTTGAAGACCTTTCGGCGCAGTTCACAGCCCTGCCCTTCTTAAGGACTAAACCCCTCTAGTTCCCCTCTCTAACCCCTCTAACTATACGCAGACGACAATGGGGAGACCTTTTCGTGCAGAGTATTGCAAGGCCAACTTCACGTTTATGACGCCCTAATGACGTCACTCAAGTTCTGCCATTCCATAACCCAAGCCGCAATCAAGGCCGAGAAATAAATAATAGTCGAGCCGTTCACATTTGGCGTTCGTGAGCACGATTTCCAGATACAACAGCCGTCAGTTAGCTCCCATCAATGCTGTGCAAGGTACGATGGCGTAATTAAACAATGATGTATCGGGGAGCATATTTACCAAACAGAGAAATTTAGTTGTCTAGAGCGACCTTTCCTACTTGAAAGTGTACCAAGAGTTATACGCAAGCCTGTTTCATCATGTCTATGTATTACGGACGGAGTGCTTTTTCGGCATCGCATCTCTGTGATCAATCGATAGCACGTTGCTCATCAATATTTACCCTTTGCAGAGTCTCTGACTGCGGTGTGCATTGCCGGCATTGAAAGAAATGGGTGAATAACGCATATTTAGTCCAACACAGTAATATTAGCTGATTTCGTAACGTGCTACACGCATCATTTCTGCACGATGATATCTAAACGGGTTCAGAACATATTCGTCGGCGCTCTTCCAAGGCATGGCGCCCGGCAGCCTCCCACGCCATTTCCCACCATCCTCGGACTGGAGGCTGCCGCCCAAATAGCATTTCGCTTCACTTGACTTGCCAGCTGGGCGGGTCGTTCGTTTGTGGCGCCGACGCTGGCCATCTGGGCCAGTTCTCAGGCGGACTGCCCCGGCTCAGCCCCGCTGGCGGCTGGTCCCAGCCACCACCGGACGAGTGCGCCACAAACGCCTCGCGTCAGCGACGTCCGCCGTCTTCGTCTCCGTCTGCCACGGTGCAGCGGATGTGGTGGGCAACGGCCTGTATGACCATGGCAGTCACAGGTGCCGGAGGGTAGTCGAAACACGACAGCAGTACACCTCCGAAGAGTACAGTGATGGCATAAGAAGTCGGCTGCGGCCGGTGATGACGGCGAGGCAGCACACTATCCAAACGTGACGCGGCCCGCAGCACGGCCGAAGCAAATTTGTGCACAGGGTGGGATGTGGGTTGTCTTCCAAGATAAAGCGCTCACGCAGCGCGGCCTGACGTCCGAAGGACGCGACGAGAGAGCAAAAGCTTCATGGTAATGTCCCAAAACGATATACATGTGCAAATTTTTGACACGTGGCGCTTGCATTGCACCTTCAAATCTGCACACATCCGGCTTTTTGTGTTTTTGTGTGTTTTTGCGTTCACTTCTTTCATTTAGCTGTGTTGTATGATCTGGAATTTGGATACACTGACTGAGTTACGTGAGCGATGACATATTCTGCCACAAACATAGCATATCGTTTGCATCTTGTTGAGGCTGGATTTAACATTATGCAAGGTAACAACATTGGGCATATGAATGATACTAGTCCCGGGATGGTGACCGTACACTTTGGGACTGGCCGTTCTTGGATTGTGCCGCTCTTCAGTACTAGCTACTGGAGAAGAGCCAATCTCGAAAAAGAGGTCACTTTTTCCAGATTGCAATGACTGTGACCTTGAGGTTCTTACCGCATATCATCTTAATGTGGCGATATATTTCAGTGAAGAGGCTGAGTATCTCAAAAATGCATTTCTAAGAAGAAGGCATGGTGAAAGTTTTCCAAAACTGCTCTCGTGCGCGCACCATGACAATAAGAGGTGAACGACGGTGATTTATGTCAGGCTGTACATAAGGTACGGCGTGGACATGCACAAAACAATTTAATGCGCCATTTTTGAAAGCAGGCACAGGAAACTTGCCGGCACAGGTAACAGGCACAGGAAAGCAGCACAGATAACTGGCTTCAGTTAATGTTGGAAAGGTGAATGATACCCGACGAAAATTCGTTCGCTTCCGTCACACGTTTAAAAAACAACAAAAACAAAAACAGTGCACCACCAGATTACGTGATTCCGACAAACGTCCATACGTAGCGGCGAAAATAATGGAAACCTCCCACGCAGCGCACTTAATGCTCACAAAATACGGCAAGTTTTGTCCTTTAAGTTATAAAATGGAGATATATTACATCACCGTAAAATATCTTAAGCCAACGTCGGGTACCATGCCACCAACACAGGATTTCGGGCTGCGGTACGCCCAGGGACAGTGTAGCTCAGGAGAGCGTTCTCATACAACTGAAAGGTGTCATGTGCCGAGTTCGCTCACGTCCAAGAGCCCCATCATCTTCCGGAAATCAGCTTGGCAAGTTCGGTGCTAAATGGCATTACCTATCGAGTGCATGGTTCAACTCCAATAACAGCGGCCTGGCACGCCACTCCGCACGCATAAACGTGGCACAATCGCTGGTGAAGTAGACAAGAAACCGAGCACCGTAGCTCAAGCCGCAAAATACGCGACCGCATAGGGAAGGACGGCAAACATGTTGTTGCGGTAATGGATCAAATAGTTTCAAACCAGTAATGACTTATGTGGCAAACTTTTGTAATAACGCATCTCCGCTGTACTTACTGAGCGGTAGTACGAAGAAGAAGGGGAACCAGCAGAGCAGGAACACGCCCACCACGATGCCAAGCGTCTTGGCCGCTTTGGTCTGGCGACGGAACTTGCTGAGCTTGCTGCTGGAGTCACGGGCGCGCACCACATCCGGGAAGCGCTCCTCATCCATGGTGCTGCACGTGCTGTCGCCGGACGGGCGGCGTGACCTCTCGCCGGCGGGGTCAGCGCCGCGTGCGCCGCCCCTGTGCACCCGCAGCGCCACCTGCGAGTCGGTGACCTTGACCCCGCTCTCCCAGCAGCGCGTCTCGCGCACCACGGCCCGGTAGATGCGCCAGTACACGGCCAGGATGACCAGCATCGGGAAGTAGAAGGAGCCGATCACCGAGAAGAGCACGTAGCCGACCTGTGTGTTGACGCTGCAGCGGCCGTCGCCGGCGGCCGGCGGACCTTTCCAGCCAATCAGCGGGCCGATGCTGATGGCCAGCGACAGCAGCCAGACCAGCACGTTGATGGCCATGGTGCGGCTGCCGCTCATGATGGCGGCGTGACCCAGCGGCCGCGTCACGCCGATGTAGCGATCCACCGAGATGACGCAGAGGGAGAGGATGCTGGCCGTGCAGCAGAGCACGTCGGCAGCCGCCCAGACGCTGCAGAACGCCGCGCCGAAGTACCAGCGGCCCGACACCTCGAGCACGGCCGAGAACGGCAGCACGGCCACGCCCAGCAGCAGGTCGGCCACGGCCAGGCTGCCGATCAGGTAGGCAGTGCTGCCGCGCAGCGTGCGCGTGCGCACAAGCGCCAGCAGCACCAGCGTGTTGCCGCAGATGGTCAGCGCCACCACCAGACCCAGCAGCAGGCTCTTGGCCACTGCCGCGCACAGTTGCGGTGCGGACGCCTCCGCCGCCGCGACCTCGGCCAGCGAGCCGTTCAGACCGTCGGCGACCAGCGGCGGCGGCGGCGGCGGCGGCGGCGGCTCACCGGCTAACGCAGTGCTCATTTTTCACCGGTGCCTCGCGTCCGTCGTCACTCCGATAACAGCCGGTAACGAGCGGCGGCCGTCGACGGCCTGAGACGGCGCAGACTGGCCGCAAGTGACGGTCTGACAGGGACCTGAGGTGGCGCACACCGGCCGCAGATGACGGTCTGGTAGGGGGCTGAGGTGGCACAGACCGGCCGCAGATGACGGTCTGGCAGGGGGCTGAGGTGGCGCAGACCGGCCGCAGATGACGGTCTGGTAGGGGTCTGGGGGAGAGAAGCCGTTTGTTAGATGACGGTCTGGAAGGGGGACCCAAGGCAAGGCAAATCGGAGGTCTGATGCTAGTCTGGCAGAAGCCTACATGATCCAGAGCGCGTGTTAGATACCAGACTCGCATGCTGCCCACGTGACCGGGCCGCGCGTGCGCTGCTGGTCTGTTAGGAATCAGGCTGATCTGGATATGGAACTGGCTGATTTGGATCTGGATCTGATAGGACGTAAGTGAGACAGACCGGAAATTGGCCGGAGATGCTACCAGAAGCTGCGAGAATGCTGCGGAGATGCTACGGAGATGATCTCGTGGCATCTCCGTAGCTCTCGTCGCTCTGTGTCCGCTCGTCCCACTCGGGCAGCGGCCGTCGAGCAGCTGCAGATGCCACATGCCCGGACTGAGTTTGGGTGTAGGTCGTTCACGTTTCGCGCATCTAGCGAATGAAGCTTGCTGCCTGCAGACGTGCGGGTGTCAGTAATCGCGAGAAATACGACCTTTATAGGACAATATTGACTTTTGAGAAGGTGATGAATAGCCATTGTCGTATGGCACGCTGCCTTCATCCCCGTTGTTTATTTCATCTTCTGACTCTATTGCATTACATTTACGTGGAATGTCGAAAATTCACTTTAAATAAACTCCTAGAAGTCTTTGGGTATCGCAGTGCTCAGAGGGTACTTGATGCATATATACATGGGATCTACCACAATGATAGATAATCAATTAAATATGGGATCATGAACTGACGGAGATGAGCTGAGTGGAACGCGCGATGACAAGATGTACAGTGAGGATGAGATGGCGATATGTAGTAGGCGCTGGGTTGAAAGAGTCTGGGTGATAGTTCATGGGTTTACAGTTCGCCCGCGAAGGGAGCCTGAGCGGCAAAACTTTTCCTCCAGCAAGGTTTATGGCTAGAATGAGGCGTGGAGTCCAGTGAAAGAAAAGGGGAAGAGTAAGGTTAGTGAAGGGAGTGCAAAGGGATAAAATACATATACCCATACGTATATGTACTCATTTAAATCAATTTAACATCCGTGCACTTGAGCGCAAACACAAAAATATACGTACCCACACACAAATGAAAAAGCACACATATACATAAATATCACATTCGTGTACTAAGCCAGTGTGCTTTCATTAATGCAGGCTTCGCTAAACGCAAGGGCAGATGTACATTTAATTAGTTTCTTGTGCGTTTGTTTGATTGCCCGAGTTCAACTGTCCGTTGTTTTGGTAAGTCATAAATCCCCTCACCTATGATTATATAAGTGTAAGCTAGCTAACGTTCCTAGGACATTCGTTCTCCATTCTCAAAGCAATGTTAGACGGTCGGGCTATTATACTTTTATGATATAATACTAACATAATATTAATATATATATGCTAATATGAAAATAAATATACTAACATGTATAATATTAATATTATGTTATGTATATTCATTAAATAATATTCATTTATTATGTAATTATATTTATTTCTTATATAATACTTATATACGGACTATTATATTTATTCTCTGATGACGATGGCTTCAAGAAATTGTACGTGTCGTTTGTTCGGACATGATTTTAGGATCAGTTTGCTTTCAGTCAGGTCAGAAGGTAATTGTTTTTGGTTATGGGTTTTGCGCATTTGCCGGTCTTGTGCCCCCTCCTGTAGGTGCGGAGTTACGCGTCGTGATTGGCATGTTGTGGTCATTCCAATACAGGTCGAGTTGCGGAGCCGACAGTCTCCGTACGGGCATTTAAATCTATGCACCATACTGGTGCACTTTAGGTGGTTTTGGTCCGCTGTCAAGTTGCTTTACATTATACGCCTTTTAGTTATTCTGCTCTTGTAATACATGGTAAGTCTTATTTCAGTGTTTTCCTCAGTCGGTGTGGTGTTTGTTCAGATAATCTTTCGCAAAACGTTTTCATCCACCTGGTATGACGGGGCATTTGACTTCAGTAAAAAAGTTAATGGGCCGGATTCTTGTCGAGTGGTTTCTGGTTTCGTCGATTCATGATGGACTAAATCTCTTCATCAAGGCTATGTTCGAATAACCATTATTAACGAGTATTGCTTACACCGTTCGAGTTCGTAAAGTGTATCATGTATATATATATATATATATATATATATATATATATATGGATGCAATATTTATGCTATATATATATATATATATATAATATATATATATATCCTTCTCTCCATTGAATTTGTATCATGTACGTGTGAACGTGTAAGCTACTTTCTGATGGTCGATGGCACTGTTGTAGTAGCCTACATTTAAAATGCTTCGTTGGATGTCATGCATTTCACCGTGTACTTGCGTCAAATCAGGGCATAATTTGAAGGCTTTCGGTGGTGGAGGGAGGGGGGGGGGGCCACGACACTGATCTCGTATTGGTCCAGGCATTTGCACTTGTGTTTGCATGCAAAACGTAGAGAGAGAGAAAGAGAGAGAGAGAGAGAGAGGAGAGAGAGAAGGAGAGAGAGAGGAGTGAGAGAGAGGAGAGAGAGGAGAGGAGAGAGAGAGAGGAGAGAGAGGAGAGAGAGAGAGGAGAGAGAGAGAGAGAGAGAGAGAGAGAGAGGAGAGAGAGAGGAGAGAGAGAGAGAGAGAGAGAGAGGGAGAGAGACAGAGAGAGACAGAAGGAGACAAACAAAGGACAGGGAATGGCACGCAAACAAATCAATGAGGCGTTGTATTAAGGCGTCGTAGTAATTCGCAATGCGATGCATCAACATTTATTTGACGTTCATTATCTGTCACTAGGATGGGAATTAAGAACTGACAAAACGATAATTACTATATAAATACAGAAACAAAATTAATGGTGATGCAGTAAACCAACGTTCCTTGGTCGTAAACATGGCATCCATAACCACGGCGATAACGAATGATGCCGGAGAGTGTTGCCATGGTACTGTTGTGGGCGCCACACAATGCGTACACACCCTTTTCAAGCTCATGTTAACTTAAACGCGTAGACGGTGATGAAAGATTCCGAGAACCTTAGCGTTGACGTACCTGATGGTTGGTATTTAACCAATTTTCCGCCGATGGTAATTATAGTTTAGAACCCTTTGGGCGTATCTTGGGAAACTTGTTTTAACTAGGTATTGCTCATGAGATAACCTTCTGTATGTTATTCGGATGGGAAGCAAGAATTGACAAAGCGATGATTAATACATAAATACAAAAGCCAAATTAATGGTGATGCAGTAAAACAACGTTCCCTGGTCGTCTATACGTCTGAAGTATTTGGGGACTGCGGAGCTAAGCGCAGGCTTTAACCGCTCGCTGTCGCCACAAGAGCACGCATCGTGAACGGCCTGAGGCCATCATGAGGCCAAGAGGGTGGAGTTTCACAAAGGAAACTGTCATGGGTACACAGCGCATCTCTTCAGAGAGGACTCACTTCACTGACGGGGGGTAGCTCAGGAAGGTTAGGAGGGCCATGAAAACCCTG